TAAGGTGGCATAGATATTATAACAGAAACAGGAGAGAAAATAATACAAATCCATAAGTTTTAGACCTTAATTAGATATTTCATGCACTTGAAGAGAAGCATAAGTCTAAAAGTGATACACTATCATTTAAAATCACTGTGCAAGTGTTACAGCTATGGAGGAAAAGATGGTTTCCCAGTTGTCATAAGTCAGTCTATACCTACACCTGTGAAAGGAAGGTGTCCTGAATACCTGCAGTTCTGAAGAGAACGGTACCCTCACTGTTTGGAAGTCAAGCTATTCCTTAATATTTAGAGAAAATGTGTCCTGGACACCTAGGACTCTGAAGAAAACTCTACCCTGAGTGTCAGAAGACATGCTATACCTACAACTGTAAAAGGAAAATATCCTGGAAAGCCACAGATGTGAGGAAAATGTATTCTGACAGTCAAGATGTCAGGCTATGCATGAAGCTATGTTCCAGTGAGGGATGGTCTCTTAGCAGGATGTAGCTCTCCAGGTACTCTCAGAGAGAGAACCATTAAAATGAGATTTGCTCCACTCTGCTAATAGAGTTTACCAGCATAAGTGTCCATTGCTTCTCTTGTCTTCTCCACTAGGAAGTTTCCAAGCAACGATAACCATTTCTTCTTAGATCCAGCCCAAATTGTCACTTTTCTGCTTCACTCAACTGTAGGGGAAACTGCTCCAGAAATGTAGCAGTCTGCTACATCACCAGTAAAAAGATTTTTCTTCTGCTCTACTCCCCTAAGGGAGATTCCCATCAGAGGTATACATTGCTTCTCTGCTGCTCTCCACTAGGGAGTTCTGTGTCCACTGTGGTAAAAGAAGGTCCTCACTGAAACTCATTGAACAGATTTATTTGGGAGGGAGGTATCCAGGAAAGTGGCTGCCCTACCAGTATGGAAAATGCCAGCTTTCATGTCTTTTAGAACTTACACAATGTTCTTCAATAGTATGATCTTCCCAAGTGTATCCTATATCATTGAGGTTCTTGTAGGTCTCTAGCATCTCATCTTTGTAGAGATTCTTCTGAGAAGTATCCATCAAAGTCCACTTTTCACAAGTGAAGTAAATATGCACATCATCATACTTCATGGCATTCATTTTGTGGTTTCCCAGATCACTGAAGCTCCCAGATCAGCTCCCTGCTGCAGCAACCGCACCACAGCAAACAAAACTGCTGTCTCCTCTTCACCCCTTTCCAACTCTTCACCCGAGGTTTCTGAACATATTTCACCACAATTTACGGATTCTTAGCATGTTTAAGTATATTTCCACCCCAAAAACACAACCACA